TGGGATGGGTGGGAAGGTGAGATCGATAGACTGAAGTGGCTGCCAGAGGCGCCTGATATGCTGACATCTGTTCTCAACCTTACACTGCACCCGTAATTCAGCCTCTGGGCTGCAAGTGGTCAGATATAAAACTATATTCTACATGAAGAGTATGAATGGATACCAGCCACCTGTCAGAGGAAACTCATACACCTGAGTGATAACTCTAGGAAGGACTGTCATCTCAACCAGGAGGGACTAGCAATATTCTTAGCCAGCTGTTGCCTGCTGAAACTACAAAGAACTCAGCAGGACGGGCTGTTTGGCTTGAAAGTTGACTTTACCTTCAAGACTTCCTTGTAGGACAGATTAAGGCTTCATTTTGCTTTGTTTTCCACTGTGCTCTCCAAAAGCACCTGTCCAGTGGCCATGTTTTTTCTGGCTACTAGCTTCTAATGGCTTCCCTAAGAACACTGTTTCCAAAAATCCTAACCATTTAACCATAGGAAAAAGTGCCAATGCTCTCAATTTTTATAGCGTGAAGCAAAATTTTGTAAATTTTTCAGATTTTGAAGATGGTTTACCAGATGCAATGATGGAAATGTTTGATATGGAATTTGATTTTCCACCCAGAACCCACTGTCTCAGCAGGTGGTAAGTGAAAGATCAAGCCAGGATAGATATGTCGTGATTCTATGAGCCTTTTATTTTTAATGTTAATATTTAGGGTAACCATTTTTACAAGCTGTAGACTGACATATTTTATTGTTGGGGTAGAAAAGGTGAACATCGCTTACAGTGTTTTAGCTCCTTTGTGTTTTTTATTGAAAGGGAAGTTCACCTTTTAACCTCTAAGAGTGACTTTGTAAAATCATTCTCCCCTTAGTCAAACATTAAGGTCATGGTGCATTTGATCAAGGAAATTATCACCAGCTGAAGAAGCTCTTGATTGTTAAACAAATTCTCCTTGTCAGCACCTCAGGAAACGTATAGAGAACAGTATGGAGAATATGCATACTGATGTTAGGGTGTACAAGGGTTAAGACAGAAAACATATTTATCTCTTTGTTGAAAAGTTAAAATAAAACGTATAAAATCCAACTGTGTTCTTTGATTCCAATGTCCACCTAACAGTTTGGAAATTTTCTTCAAATGCACAAAAAACTTACTGTGTTTCAAGAAGCAAGTTCACCAACTGGTGGCACATCCAAATTCACAATAAGCAGTTTACAAGCAGTTGCTGCACCAGTTGTTCCTAAAATCATTATCTGAGTTGACAATGCCCTTTTGTATTACTCCTAATTGTTCAAACAGATCATGGAGATATGAAAAAACGAGGATCAAGATTTTTTTTGACACCATATTCAAACTGCAAGTTTTCTAAATAAGATCCGAAGCATGAGTATCCATAGTTAAGTTTGTGATGTATTTGGAGACAATTTTTAATTGGCTAGGTTACTCTTTGGAGTCTTGAAATGTGGTCATTTTGTTAAATGATTATGCAGATAAAGGTCGTGGTGAACAGTAAATGGTTTTTAAGAGCACGCTTGTTTTTTAAAGCTTTCAATTCTGTTTTGGCTAGGTATGGCTTGAAGGAATTTCTTGTCATCAGCCCAGCTGAGGAGGCTGAGGTTGTGGACAATGAATCCAAGTGTCATCTTCTTCTTAGTTCCATTGGGATTGCTGCTACCAACTCTAAATGGTACAAAACTTCAATTTGTAATATTTTTCTTATCTTGCCGCAGAGAGAAATGCATCCTCCATTAATTTTGTGGGTTCAGTCAGCTCTTATTTGCCAAATTTGTTGTAGTGACCAAGACCTGGCTTTCAACCTAACACCAAACATTTCTCTTTTTGGACCAGTCAAAAATTGTCTTCTTATTTCCAATTGTTTTGAAAATGATGTTGATTATAGGAAGATGTTTTTCATCTTGTTACAAGTGTGAGACAAAGAAAAAATTATGAGTCCCCATGAGAAATCGAACCTCAGACCTATTTGTCCCACACTTGTGACAAGACGAAAAACATCTTTTCTCCAGTTCTTTACCCAGCTCAAAAGTTACCATAATCTCTCTTATTCTACTTACAATGTTGAATATATTTCTTTTTTTTTTTATCTTGTTTCCCCACATTCTCTTCTTTCCCTCTTTGTCTTTCTCTCCCTCAATCAATCCATTTTTCCATTAATCAAGGCTGTGGTCTAGCAGTGCCTGGTGGACCTTGGACCCTTACTTTTACTCTTGGGCAACTCAGGAATTTTAGTTTTTTCATACAAAGCATATGCTTGGCACCCTGGATTTTACGGTTTCAAAGTACTGGGCTGCATTCAATTTTCCTTAGAGCACAGGCTTGTTAATCCATCTATCTGCCCATCTAGTGCTCTTCAAGTCCATCTGTCTGACATCTGCCTGTGGGTGCATCTTTCCTTCCCTCAATCTTCTTTCCTTTTCTTCACCATCCTTCTATGTCTTTCTCTTGTTCAATCCTTCCATTTGTCTTTCCATTCCACTATCCATCCACAGGTTTGTCTCTCTAAGGTCTGTTTGTTCATGCATTTGTCCTGTCCTCCATATCTCTTCCTTTCATTCATTATTTTTCCTCTCTCACCCAAATTGCTCAGAAGATGGTTTATCATTGCAGTACAATTCCCATGTTTGCCCATGTTCGTCAACGATGGAGAAAAATTTACTATGGTCTCTGCATTGGTGGTGGATTCCGCACAGTGTATGAGATAGCTCACTTGCGTCATGTTCCAATGCAGTACAGACATCTAGCAGGACTTCTGGAAATCTTCAAAGACAAATTGGTAGGATAGGCTAAATCATCATAACACTTTACATTTACTAGTTGATATCCAAAGTCCAAATGGGTTGTGTTGTGCGCACATAGCTCACAGGGTTAGGGTTAATCAATCAAAAGTCAGATAAAGAGAAAAAAAAACAATCATAGAAAGATGTCTGGTGTAGATTTGTTTGTAAAGAAGCCTTAAGGGAACTTGAGAATAGCTGAAGATGACTGTAATGGGTTTGGGGAAGTCTCCCCCAGTCTCTATGGCTTGGAAGCTGATTAAGGGAACAAACTGTTGGTAGTTCTACTCACTCAGTCATTGCAGGAGAGAGACATTTGTCACCTTTTTTTATTTGCCAGCTCAACCATTTTAAGCAACTCTACTTTGGTTTTCTTTGATGGAAAGCTTTCATCTTAGAGTTGTTACTTTGATCAGATCACATGTAATGGTACAATTATTACATCATTTTGTTGTTCAACCAGGCATGCCCTATTTCTCCAATGCCACCCGTCACATTAACTGTTCGCTTTACATATGTTCTGGATGAATGGACAGATTACTCTTGGCCTCAGGAGCCACCTGATCTGTCGTCATGTTTGGAATGTAAAGTTGGAGTAAACGACCTTGGAACTTTGCCTTTTGGCGCATGTCAGGATCCAATCAGGTAATGTTAATCAAGTGCAACAGTCATTGGATACCTTCTGTAACTTATGCTATGGATTTTATAATTAAGAGAAGGGCAAAGCTGTGGTCAGAGTCACTTATGTATCGTGGTGGATTGTTTGGCCTGCCTTTAGAGCTATGTAGGCTTGAGTCTTTCACTTTTGGGTAGGGCACAAGCCCACGCCAAAAAAGGTTAAAGGATGGGGAGTAGATGAGAGTGGTCCCCTGGCTCTCCAGTTTAGGTACAGAGCCCCCCTTAAAAAATCTACTGTTAAAGAAAACAGTCAGCTTACGTGCCTATTGGGGATATACAGAGGTAGGAGAGGATGACAAAGACAAGAGTTCAGATAGGAAATGGCATCTTGAGGTAAAACTTGTGAGTGACTGTGCTTTTCTTTATTTCCCATCAGGGAGCTTCATCTTTCAACAACATGGCCTTGTCTCTCTGAAGAAGTCATTGTTGATAATTCTGTTTACTCGTGAGTTTTCTGTGTTTTCAGAGATATTTTGGCTGAATGTTTCTTTTGTTATAACATCTCTTACTACAAACTTGATTTATATTGTAAAAATCTCAGGAAGTAAGACTTTGTTCTAGACCTGACTTGACTGTATGAATTATTACCCCACAGTGATCTGGACCCTTGTCATGCTCCACAATGGTGTGTCAGAGCAAGAATGAACGACAACCCTCAGTGTTTGTTAGGTTGGTATCACTGAATATGAAGAGTCTATGTGATGCGTCGATCAATTCAAAGCTTCAACATCACAACCATGCCGCATGCTCAGTTTTTACGCTCTGGTTCAAGCCAACAACTTGTAATCAGTTAGTCACATCAAGAAGGCTCAGACACGAGAACGCCATCCAGTGTAGTCCTGCTTGAGGCTTGAAGGTCTTCGCGGATACATCTAATGGCTGCATAAAGTTGGTTGATAAAGGTTTTTGTAGAATGACTCAACCCTGATGCAACCATGGCTGCTGCAATGCGCTATGTAGTGATAGTGACTTTCGATTAAAGAAAGTAATGTTTTCTCCCAAAATGATAAGTTTAACAAAGTGTATTACTTATTTCTAGGTGAATATCTCGGAGGTTACTTGACACTTTGTCATCGACAAGAGTCTACAATGCAGCTGCTGAACAAGACTGTTATGGACTCTGACAGTGAGTATTATTACATAGCTGGCAGCACCTGTGGGCAATATGAAGTGAGTCCTGTGTTCAGATTGGTTAGCCGAACGGCTCGTTCTTTGTTTTTGGCTTTTGGGCCTTGACTTTGTCATGGTCCATAAAAAATGTAAAAAAAGAAAAAAAAAGAACTCGGCCAACATCCAGTCATCTTGACCTCACGCTTGGGCATATAAATTCAGCTCCCAGACCTGTCAAATATGTAACTTTTTGTATCATCTTTAATACAAGTGAAAAGTTTCAATTCTTGAAAGTAACCCAGGATTGTAAATCCATTTGAATCTTTTTCATCTTAAGTCGTTCGGTTTTTTTTTCCTTGCTTCGCACTCACCTTGTTGTTGTTTTTCTATCACGCTTAACTAACATTTTACAGTGTCACGATAAAGATACTAACGAAACAGGTAGACTGTTTTTTTTTCGGAGACGCGCGAAACAGTTGCCGCTGGAGAGAAACGCATTTCAATTATAAGTACGTGATCTATCCCTGAGGCCTCAAACGTAAGTGTACGTGATCGCATTCCTTCACATTGCTGAGAATCAAACGATGGCGAGCTCTTCCATAAACAAACAAGGAAGGTTTTGTATCCGTGATAAAAGCATAAATGATAACCTAAGATGTCTGATACTGGATTCGATTTTAGCTGGAAAGAAATATTGTACAACACTTTTAGCTGGATCATGTCGTCTTACTAAACGAAAGCGGATAAACGACAACAGATAGCAAAAGCGCGGGCAAAGAAATGCGAAGAAATGTTCTCACGTGCGGTTGCCTTTTGTGCTAAACATCTTTTCAGTTACGTGACCAAAATCGATCACCTTTGTCGCTAACAGCAACTGTTACGCACGTCTCCGGAAAAACACTCTACCTGTTTCGGTAGTAATTCTTTACGTTGCAAAGAAAGCCTCAAAATATCTTGACGTACCGTTCTCTTTTGGGGTAACTCTTCTATTAACCTCTCTCCCAGTTCCCCTCTCGTCTCCTCAGGGAAACGAGGTTGCTCCTCTGCACTTTTTATCATTGGTCAAATGCTAAGAATATATGAAAGTCATATATATTTGAACTGCGGTTACAGAAACGCATTTACTTTTGCTTGAAGGTGACGTAGCAGACATCACGCATGCGCTACAGAGACTCACAGAGGCGCCGCACATGGCTTCATTATCAACAGCTGTATCCAGAGCAACGTCGCGAATATCCGCCATGAGTGAACGAAGCTCTGAAGAGTTTCCTATCCCTGGTCCATTGCTGCACGAAATACTCAAGGTATAAACTAATACACTGGGGTTATTTCAGGAATAATCATTTAGTGACAAGGTTTGTATCGGTCATGAAAAATTGGGAAGTCAGGGACTCCAAGTAATTGGTCATAGAACAGTAGTGGATTTAAGAGGAGGGTCCAGTGGGTCCGGAGCCCTCCTCCAACATCAGACCTGTGAGTATTTTTACTACTTGTCTGAAGGCAAAATTCCTCCCAAGACAAGATTGCATATTACCAATCATCTTGACTTCTTTGAAATTTGCTTATCTTGAAATGTGTCTGACCCGACCCCCCCTCCCCTCCCCTCCCCTCTCCCCTTCTCCTATAAAGAAAAAAAAAAGAAAGCATTCCTGGATCCGCCCCTATAGAATGTTGGTAGAAGACAAGGTGGTCTCGAGACTAGTACGCAGTACTTTGGAGCGAGGGCTCCATGCTCACTGGCTTGTTTCTTTGCGCGAGTAATAAGTTGCGATGTACCATATGTTTTTCCAACAGCACCTATTTCCTGATGCAGATAGAGATTTAGACGAGTTAGAGACTGAACAACAGGAGCTGATGTTTAATAAAATGGAAGGTAGCAAGGATGCTGAAAAACCACAGGGATCCCAGGTACTGGGACAGATAATCATGCACGGCCTGGTTACTGTAAAAGTAAACAAAACTGTGGCACAGTTAATGAAGGATCATATTCGTTCTGTTACGAACCAGGATCAAAGAAAAAATTCTTCGTCATATTTTTTTCTTTTTTCTTTGGTCGTTATCAAAACGAATATCATATTTCTTAAATCGAAGACCAAACTCGAAAGTTACCCAATGCTTTCTAGGTCTACTTACACCGAAGAGGCTTTTGGCATGGCTAATCCTAACAGCAAAACGCTTGTTTCTTAAGAACTAAGTGTGTATGGCAAACCACCAGTTGCGAAATTTTTAAGACGCTTTGAGCAAAAAATGCTTTTACCGACTTCGTTGGATGGCCGAGAAGAAATTAAGTGCAAAAACCAATAGCAGCCTCTCCCTTCCTAATTCAATGTTTTTCGTCGAAGTTTTCGATATGATACTGTTTAATTATCAACATTGTCAAGGGATAGGGTTGGGTGGGGGGGTACATTGTGTTGGTTTGCATGCTTATGGTGAACAGTTTTCTCCTGTCATTGTGACATGTTTCAACAACTTTTGCAACTGGTTATGGCTGAATAACAAGTTCTCTGTCGCTCATTTAAGAGAGAACCAGACCGTAAAATCCAAAGTTACGATGTTGGCTTCCTCGAATGGGAGTCACATTTTCTTGTTACAGGATTGCAACAAATTTGAACAGCTCTTTTT